AGATGGATGTACTTTTTTGACTGAAGGCTGTCAGGGTGTTAAAAACAGTGTCCTCTACTACTGTACATTATATTTCATATTATGTTAGATATCTATAGTCTTGTTCAAGGCTGTTCCAGTAACGGGCTGGCCAGATAACATTTACTTGGATGGTGATATGATGGCGACTTTGCCCTGAAGCTGTTTTTATTAGTCTCACTGAGTTTTCATTATCGGTTGAAATTACCTTGAATTGTGATTAGTCTCCATTCGTATCATAATATTTGTAACTTAGCTCAATTATTTAGGCGGATATCAGAATATGTCAGACTCAGAATCACTCAGAATTGTTAGCTTATGATGGTCCGCTACACGAAAGTCATAATTTAATACTTTTAATTAATTTTCAGCCTCTCAGATTATAAGCAACTGGACATCAGCAAAATTAAACTGCTGTTCGTGTATGTTGTGTATGTGAGAGGTGTACCAGCTTAAACTGCCTTCTTCGTTTTCAGAACCAGGATTGTTAGCTTATGATGGTCCTCCTGACGGAAATAAGGGAGGTAAGGCAGAGGAAATGTTTCTCTCACCTATATATTTACAAGACAAACGCTACCACCGTTGTGTTACTCACCGAAAATCGGAGAGACTGGTGAGGAGAGGTAATAGAAAGAACAAACAAACATTGAGCGTCTGAAAGACACTGCATGGGATCAGACTGTGGGCAATGTTCGATTCCTGCTTTTCATTCCCTGGCCACTTTTTCTCAATATCCACGAGCAAAGAGGCTCTCTATAAGGGAAAAGTTTTGTCGCGCGTTTCCATCAAATTGTCGATTTTTCCAACAAAATCGTCGAATATCAAGACCTGCTCTAGCGAGCGTGAGCAGCCAAAAAGACGACGGAAACGAGAAAATATAAAAACGATTAGCAGGATTGAACGTGCAGCACAGTTTTTGGCAGATTTCTTTGCCGTCCGTGTGTTAAAACTTATCGGAATGGCATTGCTATGGTCGCCTTAAGGTGGCTCGATACAGTTTTTCAGGGTCAATTCTTCCCAAGTCTGAGGATAAAATACATCACTATGAACAACGATTTCGAAAAATTGCCACTACAATTGTATTAGATAAAGACGAAAATTTGTTATGATCAGGGTTGCAATGACATCGGAGTTGACATAGGGGCAACGAAATTACGCCATTACCTATTTTACTTACAGTAGTATTTCTTGGTACTGGGAACTGTTCATCCAAAATCGTTCACGGGAGAATTTCTCTCCAATAGCTGCCTCGATGTTCGTGAAGTTAAAAAAGCGAAATCTCTGAGCGTTATCGAGATACTTTGGAATGAAGTATTTATGGTTAGAAATACGGTAAAAAATGGACAATATTGATGTTTGGCTGTTATCTGTAGTAAATAAAAGTGCTTTTGACATGCTATTTTACCTCACGGTAGTTTCAATCTTTTTAAAAACGTGTGTGAAAGATCGTGAAGATAGCTCCAGCCGATTACTAGAAAGAAGGATTTGATTAGTATGTATCGAGGCGCTCTTACTTGTTGGAGGTTTTGTAAAGATTTCCGTCTACTTTAACAAATTAGCGAGTAATTTTCAAACCGTTCGATAGATTTTTTTAAAAAAATTAAGATTCTTGGGATTACCCGTCCTTTTATATGACTTTTTAGTTTCAAGATTATTGATATAATTATATGGTAAGGTAGTAAACAAGGGCATCTCATCAATTATTAATCGGCAATCGTCGCGACTTCGATAGTCTTCGGAAATACTCACACAGGCTCTTATAATTAGCGTCAGGTTTTTTAATCACCGGACGAATGTTCTTAAGCCGTGCACCTCCAATATACTTAATTGTTTCTCTTTATGTCTTAACAGCTTGTGTCAACATTGGTTCAAATACATTCTGCACCCGGTTTAAAGCGTTTTGCAAGAGGAAGAGAAATAAAGACTTTATGAGCAGATACTGTCCCCTCCAATGTGAAATATGTTGAACGACTATGTGGCAGCGCAGTAAGTGTTAAAACTAAGCTGTGAGGGGTATTTGCCTTATATAGAAACTTATTTATCTGAGTGGTCTGTTTACTACGCTTAAGGGAGGCGAGGGGTACGCAGTGGTGAGAGCACTCGCCTCCCACAAATGTAGACAGGGTTCAAATACTGGCATCGTGGCCGCGCCATAGGTGGGTTGAGTTGTTGTTGCTTCTCTCCTCAATCCTTTGCTCCAAGAAGTTTTCCTCCCGGTTTTCTCCTGCCTCGGCTCAAAGTCAATTCCAGTTAAACCAGGAATGGTTAATGAGAAATCACATGGTGAAGTGCTACCTCTGGATCGTTGTATTTTATTATATAACATAAGTTTCATCCCTTAGGTATATAATATGCTTCAGCAGATGTGTCATAAAATTTATCATTCCATGTTCTGGCTTCTTCTTTTTTTTTTTTTTACCTTTGTATATGTCATAGTTTATCATTCCTGTTCTGGCTTCTTCTGTTTTTTTTTCCTTCTCGATTAGCTACTGACAGGGTTTGACTCGTGAAACAAGGTTAATATATTTAATAGTACATTTAAGTATCGAGTATTTGTATCACAAAGAACATAACTGGAGAAAATATTCCCGGCGGTCGGTACGGACCGTTTATGTTCAAGTAATTAAAATTGTTAATGATATTGAAATAAATCATATATGAACTGCGGAAATGAAACGAAAATGAAGAAATGATCGTCGCAGTGAACGCAATTTATGCAATTGCGTAAAGAAGCCTGAAAAAAAATTGGATTAATATGATTGTTATTGACGTTATTGATTTCATGTTTTTTCTTTTGACAGATTCCTTCTTTATCCTGATCAGGAATTACAATGAAATTGAAAACGACAGCGTTAGTTTAATTTCAGAATCAAATTAAAGAGATGAAAGGCGAAAACAGCGTTAAAATTTGTATCTGGGATGCATAACAAAATACCTGAAGTGAAATAGATTTCTCTGGAGATAATGAAATAATAAAATGATAAAGGAAATATTTACTGCAGAGTTTTGTTGTACTTGTAGTTATTGAGATACTAGATGAAAACGGCCCCTGACTTTGGATTAACGAGTCGCGAACCCCACATAAAAGGTTTAACAATATAACAAAATACTAATTCCCCACGAAATTTAGTTCTGATACTCTTCCTTGAAAGTATTCGGCATTTCATCGTTTGATTTAGGAGGAAATTCTCATGAATAAACACTCGGCATAACATACATCGTAACAGTTAAGTGAGACAATTAACAGAGGGCGATGAAGCACTCGACATTGATAAAACCGCGCCATTAAATGTTACCACATCAATTTCTGTATTAACGCCCTTTCTTTTAAATTGTTCCTTTCATTGTTTTATCAATCAAAAATTAGCTGCAGAGGCGGAAGCTTGGGCCAGGCGTCTTAAAAGGCTGCAACCACCCCAATGTGATTGGGCCAACCACTAAAACCAATACTCAAAATAGTATAATATTCATCTCTGGGTATTGTTATTCATGACATTATAAGAAGGTATGAGGAGTCAATCTCAACTGGGGCAAGCCCAAGACAGGCTGAATTGATTACATGTATAGGTAATCTGGACCCCGACTTACTCGCTGGGGAGGGTGGATGGGTCGCCAATCGCCTTCGTGTCGGACAAAGTGAAGTGAATGGGACAATGCATGCTAGTGTTTCATATTATATATACTCACTTGCATATCATTAATTATATCCCCGGGGATGATATTTACAATTCAGGTGGAACGTGAACAGTGCATGTTTATCGGGAAGTGTAGGTGATAAAGGCTGTCGGGTATGCAAATATACTCCAAATAGCCGATGTCGTCCGTCGACTTGTCTTCTTGCTTTTCTTGCTATGTTTTTAGACAATAGTTTGCCGTGAAACGTGTAAAATGTTCCGTCATTACTCACTTCGCTATTACTCACTTCGAAAACAACTCAAACCCGTTCCCAGGTCTTCTCGGTTAACGGTTCAATAATCTGCAGCTTTGCTGCACTTTTGACGTCATCGGTTCAATATGGCAAAATTCTTCCAAATTGGTCAACAGTATCTGGTTATGAAGAATTATGAGTCTGATTTTAGCCAATCAGAAACGGAGAAATATTTTGAATGAATAATGATATCATATATGTAAGGATTAGGATCAGTGACCCATTACCCGTACGTCCAGCTGTGAGTTGGGGATGATCGTAGCATTATAGAGCGACTAACGGCTTCAGTTGCAGACATGAGAGCTTTACACTGAAGTGGAAAAAAAGATCTCCGTAGACAGCATACCATCTACACCTTCGAATTATAATGAGTTTAGATTTCCTTTATTTGTCCAAGATACAGATTACATCACATTAAATCTATTCAACTATAATCAAACCCTTTATTTGAACGCGATGAGAGATAAAGCTTGATAGCTTGAGGGGTCGTGAAAAAAAACGCCTCTTTCCAAAATGCCTGTAAGAGTAACAGAACAGGAAAAAAAATAGGTAGATTAAACCCAAAAATATACAGTGGCATCACTTTTTCTTCTAATGATTAGACTTTTAATCAACTGACCAACGTTTTTGTCATGTACTCAGTGGTTGTTTTGTAGCGGTATATTACCCCTCAATGATCATTAACCAAACATTGAGTGAAGTATGTACTATAGCTAGTTAAACTATTTTGTGCCCTTTCTCTAGCCGGCGTAGCTGGCGGGATCCTTGGGCCCGGGGAACTCCCACGCTTATCCCGCCAGCTATGCATGCTCCTTTCTCCTACACTTTTGGACTAATCTAATTTTGCCAAAGATTCCCATTTCTGTTTGACGCCTCTACAAGATCTGACGAAAAATCGGTATGAATCTAGACACTTAGCGAACGCTATGGACTCTCAGTAGTGCAGGCATAATGTTCTGTGTAGGGAATCAAAAAGAAAATAGAAAATAAAGATATGTAATTACATTATACCTCTTTACCAAAATTTATACCAAGGTGCTCCCCTATAATCTCCTGGTTGAGCAGCGCCTACGCCTGGCTATTAATCAAAAAATAAAAAAAATAATTGACATGATAGTTCAATGAATGAATGAAATTTCTTTATGTCTGTATTTTTTATACCGCTACTGAATGAGAATTTTTAAAAAAGCAGCACAGTGTTGCTCGGCGAAAACAGGTATTCGGGAAATTACTGGTTCGCAGCGAGCTTATAATTAACCGCTCGGATCACTCATTACAGTGGGTGATCTATCGCATCTTTCGAATGTTTTCCGAATTTTTGATTGTCCCAGACCTCTCGATATTTCTCGATACCGAGCCTACTATAGCTAATAGCTGACCGGAATATTCAAAATGGCCAGCAGAAGAAACCATTCCACGCATCGATAAAGTAAGCTGCTTTTATTCAGTTTTTATAATAGCTTATAATGGGGTAATCTAATCAGATGTTAGGGTCATTAGGAACTCATTAACTTGTTAAAACCAGAATCAACATCCCCCTCATCCAACAAGTTGTTAAAAGAGAGAGAGAGTCTTAAGGTCGGTTCTCACGGATCTAGCCATTGTACATCCAAGTTGCGCAAACACGTTCCTGTTGCTGGTTTTCACTCTCACGCCATCAAAAACAAAAATCAAAACTGTTCCCGCAAAAGATATAGACCGGAATCTGGGAAATTAAAGGAGGTAAGTTTTAAGTGCACACCAAGGCTAGTTCAGGTCAGTGAAAGTTACGAGATTTTCGGAGAGACTATTTGCTCAGATTCAGAGACCTTTGTATGAAGAAGCCATGTTGGTGCCCATCCGAATGGGCACAAACACGGCGGCCGTAAACCAAACTAAAAAAACGTCACTGAGTTTGGAAACGAAAACGTGAATTGATCTCTCCAAGAACTAATAAACATTAAAAAGCAATATCTTTTCTAAGACAATGACTGCTCAGCAAGCAAAATCCCCCAGCCCCATTCCTCTCAGCTCTCCCAGCGGCCACGTAAAGCCGAGAAAATGAAAGTGAAAATCTGTCGACTAAATATTTGTTTTTTATCTGCTATGATACTTGACAAAAGTAAACGTTCGGGAGGATCTCTCTCCTTAGCTGAAGCTTCCGCTTTGTATCGATACAGAGAGGTTTCTACGGAGGAGGATGCTGGAAGATCGATAATTCTATAGTTCAAATCTTTGATAAGTAAACGTCATTTAAAATCCACTGAGCAATGGTAGGATTAACCCTAGACTTACATCTTCTTCGGTCGGCGTCGGCGCTTCTGTCACCTTATGCGCAGAAGCCGCTGCAGCATGAACCTCCTCACTTTTATTTGGCTCATCAACAGCCACACTGAAACAACAAGAAGTCCTGTTGAATCATGTGTTAATTACTAAGCGTTTTCGAGTTCGCATTCCCAGAAGCCAAGCTAAAGTCTGGCGCCAATATCGTTTATAGCGATACTCAGGCTGAAGTCACCTATTGATACTACAGTGTACCAGCCAGTCTTTCGTTTCTCGTTGCACATTTGAATAACAAAAACAATGTTTATAAACAGTGAATGAAAGGCGCACATTAAGTCATTAGCATAGTTACCCCTGTTGTCTGAGCTCGTCAACCGCTTCCCAGAGTTTTTCAACTTCCTCCTGTAAAATAATTGGAATTTTCTTACCGCAGGTATAATCAAGAACTGAAGACCCGATGCAAACGTTTCATAGCTCATGTGAGCAATACAACTACAGCTTACCTCGAGTGCTGATGTCCTATTGAACAGTGCTTTAAGTCTGAAAACAATATTTAAGTCGATATGTACAGCATTAATACAAAGGGCTGATAGTGTCGTGGAGTCTGATTCTATTATTTACAATGAAATTGTGATGATTAGGACTTCGACTTCAGCAAGTGAGTCCTTCTATTAAATAATGTCATGAGCTTAGGGTGAGTGGTGAGTCGTGGCTTCTTCTTCTTCTTCTTCTTCTTCTTCTTCTTCTTCTTCTTCTTCTTCTTCTTCTTCTTCTTCTTTTCCATATACTGACTATGTCCGAGATACGACTACGTACTCACCCAGGGCCAGTTTATGACACAAATGCAAATAGATTGACTATAGATTTTTTGTTGAAAGTACAACAGACATGGCTAAGAGGTTTCAATGATATGTGATACTTACCTGCCTCGAAAATCTTTGCCCCTTGGTGACTGAACATTGCGACAGTTATGATGAGATAAGATACGATAAACAAGATCAAAAGATTTAGCCACATCAGCCTAAATCAACAAAAGTTATATTAGAGGCGTGTAAAAATGAATAACTGATAAATAGTAACCACAATATATAAAATTATCCAATCCAAATAACACACTCATAATACTGTAAACTTCAAGTATTCTATACATTAGATATCCTAAAAGAACTTATTGATTCTGGTGCCTTAATCCCTTGATCGATGTAGCTTGCACACAGACGTTGCTTTCATTTTCTTTTCGAAAATCGACAAACGCGCGAGAACTAGACTCCCACCCCCTGCCGCTATGGACTTCGAGCTCAGTTGATCGACGGCGCTATACTAGACTTACTACGATCTGTGCGGCGAAAGTTGTTTGTTGGCCAATTTTGTCTGCAAACGAATTAGAACGAAAATTTTATTCGGGAAACAAGATATGCACCGATTCAGCCCAGTAAAGACTGCTATCCCTGCAAGCTGGGCCTGATCTAGTCATATCGAAAGAAGTCTCTTTCATTGCACTCTAAGCTGATAAGCACGAAAATCTTTGTTATCATTGTAAACACATGTGTCTGTAGGCGCTCTGTTGATAATAAAGCACTTATCCTATCCTATTACCTTATAAGGGCTTAATGGGGACGTGCGGCCAGCCACGGTATGTTTTTCGGGATTTTTGTCTTAAACAGGGTATTAATTTTATCAATTTTTGTCGTAAACAGAGGATCTTTTCTTAGACAGGAGCCCATAACCCTGTTCTTACCCCCCGGGCTGATATTTAACTGGAAAGACTAGAAGTGCATTTATTTGTCTTGGAAACTGCTAGACCTTTGCGTCGCTCGAATAACCAGGTAGAAATTAAATAGCGGCCCCGTCTAGCGCCCAATAGGCCTGAAGTTAAAAATAGTGTCCTATCTGGTCCTTGATTTGTACAGCGAGCTTAATATATTTTAATGATTAAAAGCTGTTTCATTTTTTAATCTAAAACACATAGTTCGACAATTATTGTTTTGTTCAGGGGCACCCAACGACAATTTTCGGAAAATATCTGTTCGGAAGACGATTTGAGATCTAGAATTTTCGGAACATTTGTTGTAAAATTTCATGCTTGCCTGCCTCTCCTAGGACATCTAAAATATGGTATAATTGCCCAATTTTAACGGATTTTTACTCTTAAAAGGTCACCTAGAATTTTCGGGAGCCTTTTTTCTGGCTGAAATTTTCGAAAAGGTAACTTTTGATCCCTATAATTTTCGGATCACTAGACTTTCAGCTAGGAAATCCGAACAGATGAAAAATTTTTAGGGGATAAAAGTATGTCTATATCTACCGTTTAAATACTAAAATACATTTAACAATGTTATGTTTAAGTGGTTTTGAATTATATTCTCGTTGGGTGCCCCTGTTTGTTTACAGCTAATCCTTTCTATGTTAACGCATATAAAGAAAACTTAACCAATAACCTACAGTCCAGCAATATGTGGGTTACTATACCTTCAAGCCGTCTTTCACTTTCGTCTGCAAATGATCATTTCCGAGATTATCTTCTTTTTTACAGTGGATGTAGTTTCCATAGAGAAATACAGAAAAACATAAAAATTTAAAGCTCAAAGCCATATTAGCTGTTGTATTTACAAGCTAATACTAAAGGCGAAATAAGGCACTGAGCTTTTTGCGGCGACAATCGATCATTTAATCAAAGAACGGGATTACACTATGCACCGTCACAACTCCTCTGTAAGAATGGCAAATAAATTATCTAGAAAAATGATTAGCAGGTTAGAGTGGAGGTCCAGTTTTCATTTTCAGTTTTATTAACAGTATGCCACTGCGATGAATTTCTATGCAGTAATTGTCTCTACAATAAATAGTTTACCTACCAGACAGTAGTGTACAAGCACGGGAGAAAATGTACCCTGTGTAAAAATACATTTTTGCGTGAAGTCTTGAATCAAAATTTTACGAAATCCTGCATGTGGATACGTTATAAGACCGTGAGTACGAACAGATTAATATATGAAATTAAATTATAACTTTAATATAAATGTTACAGGTCGAAACTTGACGGAAATTGCATTGTTCAAGCTGTTTTTAATTTATAATCCCATTGAAGGAAGCATGCTGTTTAAAATTTTAATTTGAAAACTAAAGAAATGAATACTGTTTTGTATTTTAATCGACGAGAGTCCTTTCTTATTTTCGAGTATAGGGAGTTTAAATAATTAGATAAAAAGTGTAACGACTGAAAGCAATTCTAATGCATGCATAAATTGCAGTCATGCGTATAAGACAAAAGTCTTGAGTGTCATTGACCTTAAAACATGATTTTAATCTGACAAGTATGTATTTGTAATTAGCCCCCTTTCAATCGGTTTAATTAACAATTATTCCTCGAGCCCATTCGGGCTCGAGGAATAATTGTCTTAGTAAAATCCAACTAGTTGGCCAAAAATATCGAGAATAAAAAAATTTTAGCTAGTTAAAGCTAGACTTTAATCCTTTTTTGCCGCCAAAAAGCCGGCGCTTTTCGCTGCTAGGGGGCTATAACATATAGCCTAGTAGTAACTCAACCAATCAGAAGCCAGCATTGATAATAGACCACTAGCTGGATTTTACTAATATGTAATAGACCATTTCCGAGTTTTAAAAACTCTCTCTCTAACCACGTGGCGAAGTACAAAACCTTTCACAGCGAAAATGAGTTTATTTGCATGAGAATGAAAAATCATTTTTATATCATTGGCTTTGCACTTTGCCTCGCTTTGAAACAGAGGCTGGGGGCAACTCGTAAATGGCCCATTGAATAATGCTTGAAACAATGCTATACAACAAGCAAACACATTTAGCCTATTTACATCTAGAAACTTTAAGAGTGCATAATTCACTGTCTGACAACTTTAAAAATTCAAACAATCAACATTCAGCACGCGGACGCCATCTTGGGTAATGGAGCCAGTTACGCCGTCCTGTGGAAAGAGTCCTGGGTCGCTTCCTGGGGGACCCAGGTCTCATGAACGTAACAATAAGCAGACAAAAATTTCATTTTGCTACCCAAATTTGCCAAAAAAAAAATTGGTTGCATGATCAGTCTATGATGATTTTGAGCTGCAAATCTAGCCAAAAGTTAAATTAAACTAGCAGTGCTATTTTTCGGAAAATAAATAAAAATTGTGCTTGTAATGACGAATTATGACAAAAATTATGCTAGCACAATCTATCAAAGTCTGCCATAATGTGCATGGGCGTGTACTGACAGGACGTGTCTCTATACGCTCCCACTTACTGATGATAGATTGTCAAATTCTTATGCCTGATTCAGTAAAATCCTTCAAAAAAAGCAACGGTGAGCTGAAGAGGCAGCTCAAGTAAGCTGAAGCAACGAGTTTCGGAGCAAGAATGTAGTGTGAAAAATGTCAGTGATAGCAGTGCCTCGTTCTCCATCTTGAACCAAGAAGCGGAAGCGAGCCTTAAGTTCATTGACCATGAGTATGATGTTACCAAGGTTCAGTAACAAAAAAAAACTGGGGCATCTTTTACAAACAACGAGGAACGGCTGTTTAAGCTAGAAACTACAATTGATGAGCTTCAGAATTAACGTGAACATGCTATCTCAGATATTCTAAATAGAACTCAGTGAAACTTGGATAAAGGCTTTTTTTCCTGTGGAGTTTTTATCTGTTTTGATCTCCAAAAGGCATTCGATATAGTTCAGCGATCAATATATACTACTACAGAAGCTGTCTCATTACGGAATTCGTGGTATAATCAATCAATGGTTCTGTTCATATAATTAACTAGAAGGATCCAAACCACTCAGGTTGGTTCTTGTTTCCTAAGAACGAGAAATCCTCTTGTGGTGTTCCACAGGGCTCGACCCTTGGTCTTTTTCTTGTTTATGATATATATTAATGACATTTACAAGGCTTCAAATAAACTAAGCTTTTATTTATTTGCTGACGATACAAATTTATTTTAAGCTGATAGGAAATTTAAACCACTTGAATCTGTCGTAACTGCTGAACTAATTTCCTATTATTCATGCATCTCTTCAAATATTTTGCCTCAATGCATGATGTCTATAACAATGGCATAACATCTAACATTTTTAATCTGTTTACCCCTACTCAAGATATTCATCGTTACGACACTCGTTCTTCTTCCTTTGGTGTTTTTATAATAATTATTCTTGGCTAAATCACCTTAAGAATTCTATCTCTATTATATTTTATATTAGGGGCAGAAATTTGGAACAGTATACCCGACGTTCTGAGAAAACTCCCCAAACATAGCTATAGATTCAAAAAGAAAATAACCAAATCCTCACTTCATATCTTCCTTAAAAAGGCAGTTATGTTGTTATATAAATGCATTGATAAATGAGTTAAAGCCACCAACTCCAGTACTTTTAACCACCCATTTTTCAGCTGCAATGTAAACCCTTTAAATTTGTAATTTAATCAAGCTCTTTTGATATGCCATCACATTCGCACGGGAAGTCTGTCATTCTGGGAGCTCCTATAGCTGTGCTACAAGCATTAAAAGAAGTTAGCTGAAAACGTATCTCGGCATAAACCCCGCACACTGCAGCTGGTTGAAGGCAGATTTTAATTTTAGAATTATCTAGCATAAATTCTATGCAAATTAAGCAAGAATTGTTTATCACACTTTCAAAAAGCAGAAAGCGCCCCCTTGGGCAATAAGGAAAAAGACGTCCGAATCATTCTCTAGGAATTCGGCAAACCAATTAATCAATTAACCAATTGTTTTAATTAAAACAATTTTTCCGGTAATAACACAGTTAATCGAAAATTAACTTCCACGTTAAACTGAATTTTTCATGTTTTAGCCATCCCTTCCGCCCTTCTTTAGTTCTTCAGCAGTTTTGTTGTACTCGTATCTGAGTCTGTAACTTTTAGCAAGACCAGGCAACCATTATTGGACCTTACAATTAATGGTGGATGGATATACATATTTCATATAAGATTTCCCACGGAGCATTTCGTATTCGTAATCCTGTCCTAGATTCATTCGCACAAAAATGCTCTCGTCCTAATTTTTCTGCTCATTTAATTTTTTTCTTACATTCATTTGAAGGAGAGGAGAAAATTGGATGAGAGAGAACGCGTCCGATTCTCCCTCGCAGGCCTGCCACGTATAATAAAGCTTCTTCGTCGATTGTTCAAGATGTACGTAGAATACATACCTCTCAAAAAATTTGTCCTTGTTCGACGAGAGCTTGCTGTCACTGAAACTGTGGCGACGGTTTTTCTAAGTAATATCAAAGTACACATTAATTCATGGCACGGAGTAGGTCAGGTAACAGCTAGTAAGTTAAAGACTGAAATTAGCAAGGAGAAAAAGGTAAGAGAATTTGAACATACCGACCAACGTTTCACACTTGACAAATGTCCTTTTTTCATTGATCCCACTTTGCAATGATAATCGCAAAGGCAAAGACAGATTAACCAAATACAACGCAAAAATTTGTAGTCTAAAGCCATGTCTGCAGGTGAACAGAAACTGCGGACAAGATACCTGAATTTGGCATAGGTGTACACCTAAAAAAGCTCACAGTGAGATATAAGAAATATTAACGACCGACGGTGAAGATAACGAGATTTTATCTTATTACAACAACAGTAATCGTTTATCAATGCCTGGGCGCTGGGATGAGTAATCATCATTTCTTTTAATTGTTTCTGTGAGGATTACCTCCACTCCAGTTTAATTTTTTTCACCCAGAAATCAGTTGAACTAATTAAATTGCTCACTAAACAAAGGTTTGCCATCTTGGGTCGAAAGAGGATATTTTAATCAGCTGTTCATAAAAGGTGCTTTTGCTAACTTTAGGAAAATAGAGTTATATGAATACCACGAGAAAATATAAAAGGGTCATACAAATTTCTTTATTACTCATTGAAAATATTTCGCCATTTCTGATTGGCTCCAATCCCTCGGTTATTTTGTCATAACTGGCCAACGCGTAGCATATTTGGAGGACGTACGCAATAACCCATCGATTCCACGGATTACAAGAGGCGCGGCTTGTGAAGTAGAGAGGTTGACGAAATGACGAATCGGCCCTGACAAAAATGGCGAATCTGGCAAAAATTCGCCATGGCCGGATTTGGCAGATATTCAGTTTGGATGTTTAGCATTAGGTAACATCGGCTGAAGTCAGATTGTTTCTCTCAGTAAAATTACATGAAGAACAACTTAAGTCCAACTTTTACTGTGTAATATAAAAGTGAAATAGAAAAACTCCACTGCAATGCCTTGAACTCGGGTCACTTGCTTTATAGCCCATCTGGAGGCGCCGTCTAGACAATAAAGAGATCGTGGCGGTTATATCAATGGATTTGTCAAAGGCTTTCGACACCATACCTCATGCTATGCTAATAGCAAAACTGAAAGCGTATGGCTTGCACGAATCCAGCTGCGCCCTTATCGGTGACTACTTGACGGATAGAAGGTAGCTAGTGAAAATTGGTGATACTTATTCGGATTGGATGAGTGTGAAGCGGGGCGTGCCTCAAGGCAGCGTCCTGGGGCCCATGTTTTTCAACATGTTCCTCAACGACCTCATCTTTCACATTAAGTCTGTAAAATTAAACACT